CTGCTTCAGGTCAGCTGGCTGGTACAGGTGAAAAAGGAAAGCCAGAGGATCTGGGCTGGGGAAAGTTTCTGCACTCTCAGCTCTGCCAGCTTCCCTTTGCCTCCCCACCACTCAGCTGAGTAGTGGGTTGGTGATTTAAAAGCTGGGAGGGCCAGAAGCCAGGCATGTAGAGGTTTTCCCCAGCCCAGTCCTCAGCTCCTAGCTGCCCCTTTCAGCCCTGTCACTTAGCTGGGGGACAGGGCAGCAAGGAGAGCTGGTGGGAGCCAGGTCGTGGAGACTTGCCTGGCATCCCACTCCCAGATGCCAGCTTTTAAATTGCTATTCTGCCCACTCAGCTTGGAAGCAGTGGCAGTAAGAGAAAGCTAGCAGGAGTCAGCAAAGCCCTCTGCCTGTTCCCAAAACTGCGGGCTGCCTTGTTTGAGGAAGAGTCAGGGAGCAGTGGCTATTGCTCTTCTCGCCTCATACTCTATGGGAATGGGTGAGCAGCCTTCTCAAGACTGGGGTGACCCTGGCCTCAGGAAGCCAGGATGCCTTTTTTTGCTTCCACTCCTCCTAGTCCCCAGGAGGAGTTAAGCTAGGGAAAAATGTACAGCTGTTCAGTCTTCTAGGAGAAACTCTCTCCCAAATGGTTTAACCCTGGTTCTTGGGTTATTTTTCTCCCAAAGCAGCCATTTTTGTTCTGGGAGAAAAAGCCTGAATAGCTGTACACTTCTGATTTCTCCACTAAGAACAGCAATTCGCTCAATAGAAATTGAATATCTGTACCAAGTCATAGAGGTGCCTTGACCTTGAACTGCTTCTTCAAGTGCTTATATAATACAACAGTGGAAATTCTCATTTTTTCTTCTGAAACACTCCCACGCCAAGCACATGCACTCCATTACCAGGTGTACCCTCCTTTTGGCACACTGACTACCTCCAGGCCATTTGCACCTTCAGTTTTGTGCCCTTTCACCCTAGGACAAAGGTAGGCTTACTAATTCTGTTTTCTGAACTGATTTAGCACCCAGTAAGTTTTGACATGTTTTAGGCAAATACTGCTGCCAATTTGTTACTGTGACCAAACACAGCTGAGGCTCACAGCTCAACCATCTGCAATCAGAGAAATTCACTAAATAAATCCAGATTTATAAAGAAATCAATGAGACCCACAGTCTGCCTGTGACTGACTATTCTCTGGGCAGAGAACTTACATTGTCCAGTAAATTGTTCTTTGTGAGTGTTCTAGTTGGTTGCAGCCTAGGAGTCTTACACCAGAAGAACAGTTGCAAAGTGTCTCTTCTGAAGCTCTTCAGTCAGACATCAACTTTTTAGCTGGATCAGCAACCTTCTTTTAGCTTATTAGTCTGAATAATCAGCAACCACACACTAGAAAAAATCAAGACTAATTTACTCTCCACTAGACTTGTCTGCAAGTATTTCCTTCGTTTCATTTATTCTGTAATTTCATTCTTGGTGAGTGACAATGCACCTGACAGACTACATGGTAAGTCAGGAGTTAGAGACTATTTTTTAGACCCTGTTTCTGATTTTACAGACATATTACACTGATGTGACTTCACTGGCTTGAGTGGAGGGGGTGATGCTACCTCTCCACTGTCAGATCCTTTCCTAAAATGTGCTGTTCTGATGTAACTCTCAAAAGCATTTAAAGGTAGACTGAAGGGCTGGATTTCCCCAGCAGGTGCAAGTTCAGGCTGAGGGTGTCAGGAGGCAGTGGTGACCGTTAACCATCTTCACACCTGCTCTGATCTTAGGGACAGTCAATAGTTGAATGGCCTCTGAGTACAACCTAGAGTAGCCATCGCTTGCAGAATAAAGGAAACGGAAGAGATGACAAGGAGTTCATGTAAGATCATAGAAACAGCAGCTATTTACTGAAGGAAAAAGCATTTAGTAAGAAATGGCACGATCCAGGTCCATTCTCATTCCACTCTGCTCTTTACATTTGTGTGAACTAGTCACCAGCCAAGGTCAGGCCTGACAAAGAAGGACAGCAGATCTTCTACCACAGCTGGAACTTAGAAAGTAAGAAATTCCCTTCTGGAGTAGATGCAGATAAGTACAGGCCTCCATGTCCTCAGGAAGAACTAGATGCATTTTAGTCAAGAGCAACTGCCAAAAAAAAAAAAAAGAGAGAGAGAGAGGAAGAGAAAGAGGAAAGCAGGAGGAAGAAGAGGAACCTGCCATTCATGGATGCACATTAAAAAAATAAATACAAAGTTCCAGAAACCTCCTTGTTGAGGTAGAAGAAATCTAGTCCCCTTTCTGAGCTCTTTCTGGTTTGGGCTCAGTGTGGGAGGTTCTCAGATACTGTGGTGATGAATTTATGTGAGAATCTAGAGAGATAAGGACACTAATACCTAGAACTGTTGTAGGGCTGTTCCTCCAGAGAGCAAAAATGAGTTTATGGAAGACATCAATATCTTTATACCTATTTTAGAGATTCAAAAACTGAGGCACAGAGAACTGATTTGTGCAAGGTTACCCAGCAAGGAAGTGGTAGAACAAGGAATAGAATCTGAGAGTTACAATCCAGTGAAAAATCCATAAGGCCACACTGCCAGGAAGGATGGATAGGTTTGTGGAACACCTTTAGCTTTATATAAGTTTATATCTTCCATCATGGACATGGCAAAAAGTTCTCCATTATGAGAGAAACTGGAGATTTAAGTGAATGTAAGCTTGATTTATAGCAGAAATATATTTTCCATTACAGCTCAGTTCAGGATCATTGATTTTTTCTTCAGAACATTCTCTTCTATGGTAATATGGGGGCATTTTTTATTTTAAGTTACAAATCTACGTTAAAAAAGTAGATGCCCTGTCGTTCAGCTCTGGTCATGTGAAAACAAATGACATGTCATAAGGAAGTCAGTCAGGAGGAATGTGAGCAGGCTGCACTTTGATCAAATGCTTGCACCAGTCTTGCTGTAATCTCAATTATTAATCATCAGTCATCAAGTTCAAGGTCCTCATCTTTAACGTGTAGCACAGCTCTGCTCTTCCCTACATCTCTGCTCTGGTTTAATTGTGCACCTCTCCTGCTCCAAGCTACTTCCTTTGTTTCCCCACTCCTACTCTCACCTCACATTTTCTTCTGTGTCACTCTGTATACTTGGAACAACCTCCCACGTTCCAGGCACCAAGAATCATCCTTCCCACCACAATACCCGTTTTATTAGTGAACATTCCTCTTCTGGTCTCCTATACTAATATAAGTCATATGCCTGAATCTTTATACTGTTTACTGTACTTTTCTGAGGGTCAGATTCTGAAACCTGCACTTGCAAGACTGCCACCTTTATCTGCTGAAGTCAGTGGGACTTCTTATGGAATAAAGTAATTTTCAGCCTGAGTATGGGAATCAAAATCTGGGCCTGTGTAGGGAAATCCTGCATATCTCATCATCATCAGTTGCACAGAAGTCATCAAGAGCTGTGAGTGCTTGGTACCTCCTAAGATCAGACCATTAGATGAGAAGGATAACATTTTCAAAAGCATCTAAGTGGCTTAGGAGACAGTCTTGACATTTTTAAAAGGGACTGAAGGGTGCCTATAGACATGCTCCAATACATTCTAATTAGAACGCTCCAGCATAGCCGCATCCTCGTGTATTAAGCCTCTCCACATTTCAAAATGGCCATGGGGGAGTGTGACAGGAGTATCACTATCGGAGCCTTTCCGGGGTGGCTCCGCCCTCCTGTAATGGGTCAACCGCCTGCTTACTCGTCTGCCATGCCTTGATCTTACTTGATTAGAAGATGGTTGTAATCAGCAGGAGGCTGTCCATTTTTTCTGTGCCCCGGTGACAGGGGGCGCTACCTGTGGCTCCTTTTCCTCCCCTACACCGGAGCCCAAGCCTCACAGATGGAGTTGACGTGGTTTGACCTGGGCCCTGTTATGTTCTGGCCCTCCTCTTTACTCCCAGGGCTCCTCACTGCCCCCTCTTTCTCACTCTGGGGCTCCTCGCTGCCCCCTCTCTCTCACTCTGGGGCTAGGGCCACTGCACCCCGTAAATGCTGTGCCCTCTCAGGCGCCAGGAACCCCCACACTACTAGGGAGTCCCTGTGAGGCCTCCTCCAACCCCTAACAGCCTCACTCGGTCCTCCGGTCAAAACAGTAAACATAAAACATAAAGCCCCTGGGCTACAACAAAAAACTAGACCGTCCGGTCAAACAAAATCTACTCCCTACTAGAGAGTGAGGGAGAAGGAGGGCTCCCCAACCCCAGCAGTGACTGGGGGATGCTCTCACTACCAGAGTCCTCCCCTCTGTCTGTCCAAGCTAAGTCCCTACTCCCATAGCTGCTGGAGAGGGACTGCTCTCCTGGCCTCCTACCTGGGCTTAAGAAGGGATAAGCCCTGCCCCTTCCTGTCAGCTGGTTTTACCAGTTGCCCCGGCAACCAGCACCTGTGCAGCCCTGGTGACTGGCAGCTGAGCCTCCCCCTTTCTGCCATTAGGGGTCTCCCCAGAGCAGTCTCTGCTCTCAGGCGCAGGGCACCTGAGTGCACTGCGACAGGGAGCTTTAACTAAACCTGGTTGAATGAGCTTTAGTTAAAGCATCCCCATGGCCATTTTGAAACACAGGGGGCTTAATACATGTGACAGTGAGCTGTTTTAATTAGAGTCCCTGTTCAGGAACCTCTCTAATTAAAAGGGGAGTCCCTCCCCCCATCTCTGAGTATGTGTAGGCAGCCGAAGTGACTTAGCTATGAATGCTAAAGAAGCATAATGGGGAGATTTTCAGAGGCACATACGAGGGTAGTCATGTGTCCATTTGAAAATGGGACATAAGTTACCAAGTCACTTCAGCTCTTATGAAAATGTTACCCCTTAATCCTTTAGGACCTGCACCCTGAGCTTTGCATATGTGTCCCTGTCACTACGTCCTTTTATAATGCTATTAAATTAACCAAAAGAATTTGCAGTTGGAGAAAGTGTTTCAAGTTTCCTTAGCTTAGGTCTGAAATACAACAAAGCGGTAATTAACAATTCAGTAGGGTACTATGCAATATACTTTATTTCATGCTGTGACTAAAGAAGAGCATCAAAATCTTTAAAATACTTTATCCATGACAAATGATAATTTGAGTAAAACCCTCTGTCCTGCTCTGCTTCTCACATGCTTGAATCCTAATATCTTTATATATAAAAATGATTGTCCTTTCCCCATCCTTGTTAATCTAGGACCATCACATAAATGGCTTGATAAAGAAAATTACTCCCATGTGCAAATAGAAACCTAGCTGTCTTGCAAGAAAGGAAATGATCTGACTGTAGAAAAATCAGACCTTCATTATCTGCTGACCTTTAAAATGGGAAAATACCAAACTGTAATTTAGGATTTGGAACTCCACTGAGGATATATACATGTAAGAAATTGTTTCACTCAGAGATAGAAAACAAAAGGATTGGACTGTTCGACAGTCTAGAAATAACAGATGTATCAAACCACATTGGTAGTAACCAGTTTGCCCCCTGCCAGTTTTAGCTGGAGTTGATTGCAGAAGTAAAGCAAAAAAGATGTTCTGCTTTTGAGAAATATCTGCAGTGCACAGGCAAATACTCTGCCAGAAGATGGACCAGTACAGTTTCATCAGATGTTTTGTAATGGCTGAGTGTTTTAGTTAGGTGGCCAACAGTTTACCTCTTCAGAGGACATTTTTCTTCTTACATTGTATACGCAACCCAGTAGATAACATTGACTGCTGCAAAAGCTGCTGGGAAAACTGCTCTGGCGTAAATATCAATAGTGTCAGCATCAATGGGCTTAAAAAGGGACTTTATGCCACCCTTTTTGTCAGACTTCATTTCTTGGTGCTGCTTTGTCTCTCCAGTTTCAACTTCCACTGGGCCATATGATCCAGGAAATCTTCTGGGAATACGATGCTGTCTGTTGGAAATCGCCAGTTCCTGGTTAACTCCGGCAATAGAAAGTGAAAACAAGACAATGGCATTCTTGACATTTACCTGCAAAGGAAAGAGAAGAACTTTTTGAAACAACCTGTATGGGAAAAGAGATAAGATATTTAACCTAAGCTAGCAAGGTCCATGTGCAGTCAGTCTCCAGTGTTGGGGCATTCATGACAATCCAGACTGTAGCAGTGGCAAAACACACACCATGTCTTATATTGTCAGTGACTGCCCACTGACTAAGTTCAGTGGTGGACTACAGGAACTGCACATGGCCACTGAGGATACTATCATATGGCTCAGCAATTATACACACGCTGACTGACCTGAGCTAGCCAGGTAGCTTAATGGTTTGATATGCAGAAGATCCAGATGTGAAAAACTGTGCTACCATGCAAGTTTGAAGTCTGGTTATAATTGTTCATTCCCTGGGCTACTGAAGGGGCTTGAGGCCTTGCAAAGTCAGAATGTTTATCCCTGGGCTGACTAACAAGTAATATTGATTGACCATCAAAGGAACTGTTATTTAGCTCACTGGCCTGGAACATAGGCAAACCCTCAGGGTTCTTTCAAAGCTTGTGCAGAGCAGTGAGGAAGGTTAAGTAAAGAACCCAGATCAATTATATTTGCTAGCAGCTTAAAAAGCCCTAAGTCCAGGGAGCCAAAAGGACTGTCAAAAGCATTATTTCTCTAATGAATTCACTCTCTTTCTTCGGCCAGTAAGGGAAAGCTAAGTATACGATTGGAGCAATTGAACTATCTAGACAGAAGTTACTGGAAGGAATTTCATTTCACTGATGTTTTATTCTTACAACCTGTTGTTTTGGTCCCTGGATCTACTTTGAAACAAGCATTCTATCTGTGAGCAAAAGAAAATCTAACTGGACTTTCTCTTACAACTAATATGGGAACAAATTAATCTCCTTCATTAGCGATGCATTGGGATGACACGGAGGGGGAGGCATGTGCCCCCCCAAATTTCTGTGCTGATGGTAGGGTGTAGGACATGGGGCCGCATCCCAGTTGGAGCCAGGGCCTGGCAGCAGCAGAGGCAGTGGCAGTGGTGGTGCAATTTCTGTACTGACTGTGGGGCACGGAGCTGCAGTCCTATCAGAGCCAGTGCCTGGCAGCAGCAGTGCAGAGTTGTGCCCCTCTACTGTCAATACTTATACGTTGCCTCTGATCTTGTGTAATAATGTTGAAGATAATAGGTCTGGTACCCACTTAGGCTAAGAACCTTTTACAGTGTACTAGCAAAGGAAAGAGGCCTTAAATAGCCACAGGAGAATATGCTCTGTCCATGGGTCTCCCCGCTTGGTATAGAATTGACTCCACATGAGCCCCAGTGTTAGATCATGACATAGCGGTTATTGATCTGAATACCCTTGGTGCTGTTGTATCTTACACCAAGGGCAGAACACATCCCCAAAGACACCATCATATTATTAGAATGCAAGGGATGCATGTCTGGCTTAAAAATCACTTAAAGTCCCTTCCCTCCCCTGTCCCATGCTGGCTTAGGTCAGGAACATAGTATGTGATGATGATTGGTTGTACATGCTGGTAATTATCCTGAAACTGGGCTTGACTCAGATTTTAAACAAGTAGCAACCAGCATGACTGGATTTAGGTGCTTAGCACTGAAATGGCAAATGTACTAACTTGACCAAAGTCTTCCTCACAGCCACCACCACTCAGATTACTGACCTCCCCACTCTGTCTGCTGGCCTTCATTTTGGCCTTTTGCTTTTTCATGTAGTCAGCATTGAAATGTGCAAATGCATATTCCACCAGAGCAGCAAAGACAAAGACGTAGCAAATCCAGAAATAAACATCAAGCGCTTTGATGGCAGAGGCTCGTGGAAGTGAAGACCGAGCACTGACCATCAGTGTTGTCATGGTAAGAACTGTAGTTATACCTGCAGAGAATCACAAGAAACTTTCTTTAAGAGTCCATGATACCATCCCAATGGTAATGCACAATGACCTGTATTTTGACAGGGGTTTTATTCCAATCCAAGTTAGCTGAATTTTTCAAAGCTGTTTAGGGGATTTGGAGACCCAATTCCAAACTTGGTATGCAGACACCCAAGGCAGCTTTGTAAATCTCATCCTGTTAGTCACTGTCTTTTCTGTTACGAGACACAGATAGACAAAGAGAAATCCCTTGAGGGTCTTGTTTCCTTCTTAGCCCTTAAACTTGCAACTCTTACTCATGTGAGTAATGTTCCCTCTAAGGTGTACGATCTGTGAGCGCGCCACTTTGGCCTGTGAGCGTGCCACTTCGGTCCGCTCCTATTAATAGTGTAAAAAACATATGACCACTTGAATAGCAATTGAGTTCTGCTTAAGCACTCTTATGTATTGTTTGAATAACCCTGGTGGGACTCTCAAAGACAGCACTCAAGGTATTGTGTTTGTGGGGTATTATACATTCACAAACAGATTTAAGAGTTAAAATTGTCAGCTGTCACAAGCAGCTAGACGGTTAGGGTCTGAATCCCCTTACACAAAATCAGATACCAGCATAACCTCAGTAGAGTGATGATACAAATTAATATATGCAAGAGGAGAATCAAATTATTTGTACTTGAGTGTGTATTGATGAAGAACTCCTATAGGTACTTGCACATTAAATGAAATGGCTTTACCCAAACATCTTACAACTCTTACTCATGTGACTCACATGATGTGAACAGACGCACTGACTCTGTGGCATTCTTAGAGTCTGTGGGGCTGCTTTTGTAGTAGTGGCATGGTACACATACTATTGCTTTTAGGGTAAAAGGTAACTGCCCAAATGTTTTATCTTCCGTTCTTTATTAGGGCTTCCCTCCCTAATCAGGTGACAGAAAATGGAGCCTGAAAGGAACCACCTTTAGAGGCTCTGCTTTGCCACTGCAGGCACAGCATTCTTGATAGCACATCAGAGATGACTATTACAGCTTTTGCTCCCCTTCCTACTGAGACCCCAAATCCTTTTTTTTTTTTTTTTTTTACCTAGTGACACCCTGGCAGGCACAGCTGACTGACTGATCCAGAAGGACACCCACGACATAGCCACCAGTAAGATGGAAGGAACGTAAGACTGGATGATGTAAACACCCCGATTCCTCCGCAGGTGGAAGTGGAGACTGAGCCTGGGAAACTGACCAGCTGGTGGAAAGAGTGGGCAAAGGGAAAAAGTATGATTGTGTATTAGAAATGTTGGTTTACAGTTAAGACATAAAAATGATGCGTATCTGCATTTACAGCACTTTCACACAGGGCTATAACAAAGTCGGGGTCCCAGGGGTGGCTGTGATGCCCCCTGGTGGCTCCATGACTTTGCCCTGCTCCACCTCTAGGGTGCTTTCTTGTCTTGCCCACCATGCCTTGATGGAAATATAATAAATAGGGAGGCTGTCCATGGGCCTTTGCGTGGCCCCAGTCTGACTGAACCCCCTTGCTAGGGTTCCCTGGCACCCTCACTGGGCCTCTATAGTCCCAGACCCCTCGCTGGGCCTTTATAGTCAACTGTGCCCAGCAGGGCACCCAAAGCCGGGCTAATTGTGCGGCTCCAAATCCTCTCCTACACCATGCCCTGTGCCTCACAGGTGTGACTATAATATTGTTCCCTCTAAAGGGGCAGAGGCCAAACCCCCAATAAATTTAGCTAGGCTTTGCCCATTGTATCAGATCTGGCTCTGAGGCACTACCTCTCACTTGTCCTTTCCAGACCCTGGCCCCTGTCTGCCAGGCCCCAGGCCCCTGCGTGGCTGTGCCCCTCTCTGGCACCAGGCTCCTGGCCCCTGTCTCACTGAGCCCCTCTTAGGTGTCGAGCCCCTGGCCCCTGTCTGGCTGCCACCTTGCACTCTCTGCCCACACTGGGCTCAATAACTGCTCAGGCCTTGAGCCTGCCTCTGGCAGGGCTCAAGACTATTGTGTGCTCCGCTGGCACTAGTAGGACCTCTGTAAGTCACCCCTTACTGTCCCAACCCAAACTGTTGGCTAAACTGTAATATAAACACTAAGCCCCTAGGCTACAACATAAACATCAAGGGATAACAGCCCTCTATTCCTTTAAGACTGTAAACCTGCACTCGCTAATACAGCATGTCTCCCAGCCTGGGCTCCTTGTGAGCACCCCGAGCCTCAGTGTTCCTGCAGGCAGCAAAGCAGTCAGCCTAGTATCCCAGGATAGCTCTCCTGGACAGGAGCTCCTTCCCCTGTGGCTCCCTCACCAGCCCCAGCCTTGGGCTTATATGTTTTCTGCCTGCCTCTGGTCAGCTAACCGCCTGCAGGTGTTTGCTAATTGCTCCATTAGCCTGTTGCTCTGGAGACCTGTGCCCTGCATAGCCTGCAGTGCTCCCTGGCTGAGCTGCTTTTATCTTAAAGCAACGGGGAGCCCCAGGCTCTCTGCTACAGGCTCATAAAAGGCTTTAAAAACATTCATTAATTAAGCCTCATAACTGCCATGTGAGGCACTATAGTTAGTGCTGGCACTGTTGGTCCTAAGAATAGGTCAAGTGATTTGCCACAGGTCACACTTGCTAGCTCTGGAAGTAAACTCAGGAGTACTGACTTCCAGTGCCTTTTTATAAGAGAACTGCTTCAAAAAGCACACTGCCTTAATGTTGTTAGAATCTGCTGTGGAAAGTCCTCCAGATACTAAATTTAGATTTTTTTAAAGGCCAAGTTAATTTCAAACTTGCTTGGAAAAAAAAGCTTGGAGAAGATGGGTACAGTATAAAAGAACATTTAACTATGTGAAAAAAGACAAAAGTCAGTAGGAAAAAAATGCCTTCAAATTTTATAATCAATGCAGTCTTCTGGCTCGTATGTACATGCACTACTGTCCTTAACTGGATGAAGCCAGAACAGCTTGACTATTGGTTATAAGCCCCATATTGTTTGAGTTCCAGGAGATTCTCTTTTAGCCCAAGTTGCAAATGAGGACAGGAGGATTTGCCATTTCTGCAAAGAACCGAATAGCCCCTTGTGTAGCATCTTAGCAAGCACAAAGCCCTAGATGGCCATGGATTTATCACAATATATTACAGTAGCTCCCTAAAAGACCAGTAAAACTTGACCTCTCTTTAAGTAGAGGCAAAACAAAATTGTACTAGATACATGATGAATAGTTTAAATACATGACTTAAGAAAAGCAGTTGCCTACAACAGATAGTGAGGTCTTTCCCTGTGCAGGAAAAACACTCTAATGCAGACACAGAACCTATTACCGGATTTGAAGTTCATCATCTCTGTGGTGAATCGGTAATTAGTGATTGTGAATTGAGCAAGCTGCAATTTATCCAGCCCATGGATCTCCTCCTGGTTTTCCGACCATTGGTACACGATGTCCTCTGAAGAGTAGCCATCTGCCAGAAGAATTGAATAAATGCATAGGAGAAATAAAGATAGATGGGCTCAGAGTGGAAGTCTGCCATGCTGCTCACCATCAGTTCTACAGCAAACATGTTATGTTCCAGGCTGTGTAAGTCAATGTCTTGTCAGCCTTGAGGATGCCAGGGACCCAGCAGGAATAACTTTCCCACAAGGAAAAGAATCCAAGTTGGATCACACTGACAGTATGTCTACGTGGCACAGTGTGGTGCCAGGCAAAGATACTCAAGGTAGCTTGGTTATCAGAAGCAGGTTGAGCACATTAGCTTGTCTCTCTACTTCAGCTAATTGCCCCTGTGCCATGTAGACATTCCCTGAGCTACACAGAAGTTTTGGAGTATTTTAAGTCAAGAAGAACTTAGCTGCTAGAGCAGGGGTGGAAAAAATGGTGGATCCAGCTGGTGGTCCGACTCCACTTCCCAGCAGCCCCTGCCTGTGTTGCTACGGCCAGTTTCCATGGAGATCCCAGCAGTGGCAGGGCTGGGACAGCATGGGGGCAGGGTTTCCATGGAGACCAGCACTGGCAGTCCTGGCAGGGTGCATGGCTGAGTGGGGAGCTGCTCTGCGGCTGGGGCTGGGACTCTGCAGTGGTGACAGCATGGTCTGGAGCTGGGGCAGAGCCACAATCTGCTGCTTGCATACCTCTGCCTGGGGCATATGAGCAGTGGATTACATCTCTGCCCCAGCTCCAGACCACACTGTCACCACTGCGAAATGCCAGCCCCGGAGCAGCTCCCCACCCAGCTGTGCACCCTGCCAGTGCTGCTGGGGCCAGTCTCCTTGGAAATCCTGGCCCTGCACTATCTTGGTGCTGCTTCTGCTGGGGTCTCCATGGAAACTGGCTGCAATGATGTGGGAAGCAGCTGCTGGGAAATGGAGTCTGCCATGGGCCCAATCCTTGCCTGCCCCTGTGCCTACTGTCCCCAGCACATTAATGAGTAAACTAGATCGGAAGGGCTAGGGACAGAAGTTGCACATAAAGCAGTTTAAGTAATCAGAAACTGGTTTAAAACTGTAACAGAACAGAAGCTCAGTGTACATAAACCAGTTTCAAAATGGCTAAAACTGGTTTAAGATAAATCTTGTTGAATGTAGTATATCAGACTTAACTGACTTGGGTCAAACCAGTTTATGAAACTTCTGTCCCAGACCCCTTCCTGCTTTAAGTTAAATCACAGTCCCCCAGCATC